AGAGATCCAGAGACTCAGAGATTCACAGACTCACAGAGATCCATAGACTCACACAGAGATCCAGAGACTCAGAAATTCACAGAATCGCACAGAGATCCGTAAACTCGCACAGAGACCCGTAAACTCGCACAGAGAGCCATAGACTCACACAGAGCGCCGTAGACTTACAGAAATCCAGAGACTCAAGAGTTCTAGACTCACACTGAGATCCAGAGACTCATAGATTCACAGACTCACATAGAGACCAGTAGACTCACAGAGATGCACAGACTCGCACAGAGATGCACAGACTCGCACAGAGATGCACAGACTCGCACAGAGATGCACAGACTCGCACAGAGATGCACAGACTCGCACAGAGATGCACAGACTCACACAGAGACCCACAGACAGACCCACACCGCAGAACCAATCTTGAACCTCACCTTCAGGAAGTTCCGAGACATCCATGGAGGCATCAGCGGAATCTTCCGCCTCCTCCTCCTCCTCCGCTGGTCTCTCCTTGTCCCTCGTCCTCCTTCCTCCTCCTCCTCCTCGCCCTCCAACCACTCGCCCCTTAGATCCACCACCACCACCATCGCCACCACCACCACGGTTGTTACCGTCGTCGTCGTCACCACCACCGTCGTCATCATCCACCTCCTGCCCGTCCTCAACATCGTCGTTGTCATCGTTGTTGTCATCGTTGTTTTCGTTGCCTTGGTCTTTGTTCCTGGCGTCGTCATCTTCGGCCAGATCGTCGTCGTTGTTGTCCTCATCGGAAGCGACGACCTTCACGACGTGCGTGGGCTTCCTAGAGCGGGAGGGAACGGGTGAAGCGAGGGTTTGCCGGTTCGAATCCGGCGTCCCCGCCCCGGTTATAACCGCGGATCGGGCGTAACTAGGCGGAAACAAAATTGTCCGTTCACCCGTAACGCCGCGTGTTATTTTTCATAACGCGAATTGGATACAACGCGACGATGAATGTATTACAGATGTAATGTGAGGTTATATCCGGGTCGTTGACGGATTACAACGGGGAGAGAAAGAGACGCAAAGTCCAAATATACAGCAGCAGGCATCGTCAGGGTCGGGATCGAACCCACGACCTCCTGTAGACCAGGCGAGGTAGTTAACATCTCACCACGGAGAGAGAGAGAGAGAGACACGCAAACTCCAAATATACAGCAGGCATCTGGGGGTCGGTGTGGAACCCACGACCTCCTGTAGACCAGGCGAGGTAGTTAACATCTCACCACGGAGAGAGAGACACGCAAACTCCAAATATACAGCAGGCGTCAGGGTCGGTGTGGAACGCACGACCTCCTGTATACCTAGCGAGGCCGTTAACATCTTGCCACTGTGTCGTTACCTAAGATCTCATCGGGACACGGTCCCCATCATCGGTGAGTTACTCCGGCAGGCGAGGCTGCGTTGGCTGGGTTACGTAGCCCACATGCTCAGCCACAGCATTCACCAAGCAGCTTCTGTTCGGCCAGATAGATGGGGCTTAAGCGGCCCAGCATGGGCTGCAGACTGTGGAGCTGAACGAACTTGCCAGCGGGCGGTACTAGCGGTGTCAAGATCGGCCTCTGTGACGGAGGAGGCTCGTGAAGGACGCCCCTGGGCAGTTGGAGGCAGTCGCCCTCCGGGAATAACGGAGGGCGGAGGAGCGACGCTCACAACAACGAGCCAGGTGGATAAAGCACGGCAAGTTGGCACAGTAGGGGGCACAGGTGGTGCATCAGCCAGTCATCTCGGTCATCTCAGTCAGTCGACCCGTGGCACCTGCTGGGTCTGACCCTTGACCTCTTGCCAGCAGCGAGCCTTCCACACTCCAAGACTCACCACACGTGGCCTGCTGCTCAACTAGGTCGACTCAGCCAGAACTGAACACCCGGTCAGGACTTCCTCTAGGTCGACTCAGCCAGAACTGAATACCCGGTCAGGCCATCCACTAGGTCGACTCAACCAGAACTGAACACACGGTCAGCCCTCCCTCTAGGTCAACTCAGCCAGAACTGAACACCCGGTCAGGCCTTCCTCTAGGTCGACTCAGCCAGAACTGAACACCCGGTCAGGCCTTCCTCTAGGTCGACTCAGCCAGAACTGAACACCCGGTCAGGACTTCCTCTAGGTCGACTCAGCCAGAACTGAACACCAGTCAGGCCTTCCGCTAGGTCGACTCAGCCAGAACTGAATACCCGGTCAGGCCATCCACTAGGTCGACTCAACCAGAACTGAACACACGGTCAGCCCTCCCTCTAGGTCAACTCAGCCAGAACTGAACACCCGGTCAGGCCTTCCTCTAGGTCGACTCAGCCAGAACTGAACACTCGGTCAGGCCTTCCTCTAGGTCGACTCAGCCAGAACTGAACACCCGGTCAGGCCTTCCTCTAGGTCGACTCAGCCAGAACTGAACACCCGGTCAGGCCATCCACTAGGTCGACTCAGCCAGAACTGAACACACGGTCAGCCCTCCCTCTAGGTCGACTCAGCCAGAACTGAACACCCGGTCAGGCCATCCACTAGGTCGACTCAGCCAGAACTGAACACCCGGTCAGGCCTTCCTCTAGGTCGACTCAGCCAGAACTGAACACCCGGTCAGGCCATCCACTAGGTCGACTCAGCCAGAACTGAACACCCGGTCAGGCCTTCCTCTAGGTCGACTCAGCCAGAACTGAACACCCGGTCAGGCCTTCCTCTAGGTCGACTCAGCCAGAACTGAACACCCGGTCAGGCCATCCACTAGGTCGACTCAGCCAGAACTGAACACACGGTCAGCCCTCCCTCTAGGTCAACTCAGCCAGAACTGAACACCCGGTCAGGCCTTCCTCTAGGTCGACTCAGCCAGAACTGAACACTCGGTCAGGCCTTCCTCTAGGTCGACTCAGCCAGAACATAACACGCGGTCAGGCCTTCCTCTAGGTCGACTCAGCCAGAACTGAACACTCGGTCAGGCCTTCCTCTAGGTCGACTCAGCCAGAACATACCACGCGGTCAGGCCTTCCTCTAGGTCGACTCAGCCAGAACTGAACACACGGTCAGGCCTTCCTCTAGGTCGACTCAGCCAGAACTGAACACCCGGTCAGGCTCTCCCCTAGGTCAACTCAGCCAGAACTGAACACCCGGTCAGGCCTCCCTCTAGGTCGACTCAGCCAGAACTGAACACCGGTCAGGCCTTCCTCTTGGTCGACTCAGCCAGAACTGAACACACGGTCAGGCCTTCCTCTAGGTCAACTCAGCCAGAACTGAACACACGGTCAGGCCTTCCTCTAGGTCGACTCAGCCAGAACATAACACCCGGTCAGGCCTTCCTCTAGGTCGACTCAGCCAGAACTGAACACTCGGTCAGGCCTTCCTCTAGGTCAACTCAGCCAGAACTGAGCACCCGGTCAGGCCTCCCTCTAGGTCGACTCAGCCAGAACTGAACACACGGTCAGGCCTTCCTCTAGGTCGACTCAGCCAGAACTGAACACACGGTCAGGCCTTCCTCTAGGTCAACTCAGCCAGAACTGAACACTCGGTCAGGCCTTCCTCAAGGTCCACTCAGCCAGAACTGAACAACCCCACCCCCACCCACCCCGCTGGTGTGAGTGGCGCTTGCTGTATAATTAACGATAAATTATATCGTTAGGAAATATTCATCCCGCGCCGGCCGACAGGCAATTAAGGCTCAGCTCGTTAACGAGTTAAAATATTAATAGGGCCGCAGACGTTCAATAATTAACGAGGATGTAGCAGAGGCCCCCACCGATGCATTGGGGGGGGGGGAGGGGGGGTGTGGGGGAAGGATGTGGGGGGAGGGGGGCGTGGGGGAAGGATGTGGGGGGAGGGGGGCTGTGGGGGGAGGGGGTGTGGGGGGGGGGGTGTGTGGGGGGAAGGATGTGGGGGGAGGGGGTGTGGGGGGAGGGGGTGTGGGGGGAGGGGTGGTGTGGGGGGAAGGATGTGGGGGGAAGGATGGGGGGGAGGGGGATGTGGGGGGAGGGGGGATTTTTTTATTCAGGCGCCGCGTGGTGAGATGTTAACCACATCGCCTGGTATGCAGGAGGTCGTGGGTTCGATCCCGATAGAGAGAGCGACAAAGAGAGAGACAGAGAGAGAGGAAGAGACAGAGAGAGAGACAGACAAAGGAGATGCAGAGAGAGAGACACAGAGAGAGAGACACAGAGAGAGAGACACAGAGAGACAAAGAGATGCAGAGAGAGACAGACAGACAGAGCCAGACAGACAGAGAGAGACTGACAGAGACAGAGACACAGACACAGAGAGACAGAGAGAGAGACACAGACAGAGGACAGACAGAGAGAGACACAGAGAGAGAGAGACAGAGAAAGATGGTGAATCTTGTGATCTAAGTCTCGTACCTTCGTGAGCGCGATGGACCGGCCTGTGGGCTGGGAGAACTTGTATCCTGCAGCACAAAGAGAGCAGACGCAACTTTGTTATCGTGGTCGTTATAACATGGAACACACATCATTATAAACACAACACACATCGTTATAAACACTCACTCACCATTATAAACACTCACACACACATCGTTATAACCCGAGTGGCAGCCGCTCTCCTACAACGCGGCGGTAGCGGCTGCGTTCACGAAGAGCGTCGCTCGATGTAAAGACCGCGATAGACTAAACAGCACATTCATATCGGGGCAAAGCACGGTCCGCGTGAACGCCACCAGATGCCTGAACGCAGCGCCGAACAGGAGACGGAGCCGCGTGTGTGGGTTAGCGTGTGTGGGTTAGCGCGTGTGGGTTAGAAGCCATGTAGAAGGGAAATAAAAACAATAAAAATAAAACATAATAAATAATTCTCACGACGTTTCGGCCACAACGCAAGCAGCCGTCCTCAGGTGAAGAACAGGTCTTCCTGATGATTATTTCCCTTCTACGTGACATTACCGAAAGAACCAAGAAGATGAATCCCTGCAGTCACGAAAGCTTTAAATCGAAATAAAAAATGTTCTAGAAGCATCCAGCAGCATCCCGATGCCGTGTTGTGCGATGTCGCCCAGCCGAGGCGGCCGCTACAACCGCTCATTCCTTCTCACGCGACGTCTCTCCGTCAGAGGTCGCAAACGGGTTTTGATTCCTTACCCCTCGTACCCGTACCCGGCCGCACCAGGGTCGCAAACGGGTACCCGTACCCGGCCGTACCCGTACCCTACCCGTACCCGGCCGGGTACGGGTAGGGTACGGGTATCGGGTACCTGATTGCGACCTCTGGGATGAAGCCATGTTGCAGGCGCGGGTGGGTTGATTCTAGGAACTTGAATTGTGAGAAGAGACAAGACGTTGGGAAATGAGTGACTCACGGCCTACCCGTACCCGGCCGCACCAGGGTCGCAAACGGGTACCCGTACCCGGACAGGTACGGGTAGCCGGGTATCGGGTAGGGTACGGGTATCGGGTACCCGGTTGCGACCTCTGCTCTCCGCTCACTCGAACGCGTTGCACCATCCACAATTGGCGTCCGCGTCATAACGAGTGCCTTCCCCGATACGTTCAGCGCGTTGTGTCATCCGTTTCGCGTCCGCCTTATCAAGAGTGCCGCTTTCCCCGACACGTTGCATCACCCACTTCGCGACGCGTTAACGACGCGGCATTCTAGGAGAACAAAAATGGGCCTTGTTGTCGTTTTGTTTTGCGCGAACCCCTGGTCTGGCTTAACAGCGAGGGCCGGTGGAGTGCAGACAACGCAACAGCGGAGTGGGGCTCACCTTGTCTCTCGTCTTGTCCGCAAGAGGCGGCGTCTTCGCGTCGGCGGGAGCCTCCTCCTCGTTGCCGTCTACGACGAGAGAATGCGCACGCACGTCATCATCGTCGTCACGCTCTCATCGATATTAGCATCACCATCACCCCCAACCTCTCATCATCACCCTCTCATCATCACACTACCCTCTCATCATCACCACCCGCTCATCACCATCACCACCACACCCTTTCATCATCATTACCACCACCCTCTCATCATCATTACCATTACATCAGAATCACCACCACCACCCTTTCATCATCATTACCACCACCCTTTCATCATCACCATTACCACCACCCTTTCATCATCACCATTAACACCACCCTCATCAAAATCATCATCATCACAACCATCTCATCATTACCACCACCCTCACCATTTTATCATCCCCACCACCACCAATCATCACCACCACCACCACCACTCACCACCACTCTCTCATCACCACCACCACTACCCTCTCATCATCATTACCATCAGCCTCATGAAAATCATCATCATCACCACAACCATCTCATCACCACCACTACCCTCCTCCTCGCCCTCCTCTCTGCCTGCCGCTCATCTCCAGCCGTGACCCCCCCCCACCGTCCCCCCCAGCAAGAGGTCGCAATCAGGTACCCGATACCCGTACCCTACCCGTACCCAGTCGGGTACGGGTAGGGTACGGGTACGGAATCAAAACCCGTTTGCGACCTCTGCCCCCAGCCCTGCTTTGTCCGTCTTGGGGAATTCCATCCAGGAATCCCATCCCATATTCCGTTCTCTATTCCCCACTCATTACCATCAACGACTCTGCTCACCCTTTCCCATGATGCGCCAAGGGTAGTAAGTTTTTTTTTCTATTATGATTATCATAATCACGACTTGCGTCGCTTAAAATATATAGCGTGCGTGCACGCGGCTGCACTTACGACGTAAAATAATCCAATTAAGAAAACGGCACCCTCTCTTATTGAGCATCGTAGTAGTAGTAGTAGTCGGTACAATAACACCATAAACCTACACGATTAGCTTTTATCTTTTTAGTGCAAATAAAGAAACTTTAAGGCCACTTAAATCCGAGCAGATTGGGCTTGTTTACACAATACGGGCGCGCGAGAGTGCCATAAAACCCCGGCTATTGGCACACGGCACGCACCACACCACCACGAACGTTGGGCACCACCACGCACGGCACACCACGCACGGCACCACCACGCACGGCACCACCACGCACGGCACCACCACGCACGGCACCACCACGCACGGCACCACCACACGGCACCACCACGCACGGCACCACACACGGCACCACCACGCACGGCAGTGCAGCCAGACCAGTAGCAAGCACCGTGCATATACCACCTTGTCCTCAAGATGAGTAACAATCATAATCATCATTATTTCAAGCAGCAGCGGCAGCAGCAGCCGCTGCTGGGTGAAGGCCCTCCCGTTCCCCCGATCCCACCAGCACCTCCACTTTTGCACGCCACGCGCTAAAAACTAAACTGTAAACTTGTTTTTTTTTTAGCAGGTGTAAGAACCACCACTGAGCACTTTGTAATGAGCGACCTGGTCACCACAAATGGTAGATCAAAGAAGTGGCTTATCATCATCAAGTGGATTTTTTTAAAGCCAATAACTCCAAAACCCGTGGTGACGTTGACTCAAAATTGGAGGACCCGGAGAAAAATCCACGCGATCACGGGGAGGGAGAGAGACACGCAAAACTCCAATATACAGCAGGCATCGTCAGGGTCGGGATCGAACCCACCGACCTCCTGTAGACCATGCGAGGTAGTTAACATCTCACCACGGGGAGAGAGGCACGCAAACTCCAAATATACAGTAGGTGTCTTCAGGGTCAGGATCAAACCCACGACCTCCTGTATGCAAGGTGAGGTAGTTAGCATCTCCTCGCCACCGTGGCTGATTTCATTGTCACTCCATCTCCTCCCCAGATAGTCCTCACCGACATTGGCTGGAGTTGGAAAATCTAATTCAGGTCATCGCTGGGTATGTAGCGGAAATACACTGACCAGGAAGCCACCGTGCCACCCCAGGGCTTAGCTCAACTTATTCTGCTTACACAAAGACAAAGATCCCCCGTGTAGCCTTAATAAACTGTAGGGGAAAGTGCTGTTAGCGAGTAGCACCTATGAAGGCCGGCACGGCACACGAGGGGGTGGGTGGCCAGCACCACGCCCGACCGCCTTTTTCCCCAGAGGTGATGTTTACACACACCGCACCAGGTAGTCATTTGAGGCTGAGTCGACCTAGGGGAGGCCCAGGACCGGTTCAGATAATCATCACCCGGGTTGGCCGTGGCGGGAATCGAACCCGGATCGCCAGGTTCGGAGCGCAGCGTAGCGCTAATCACTACACTACCACTCACCACACACACAACCGCATCGCATTGCAACACAACATCACAACCGTTGACCAAAGACCAAATTTATACCGTGAGCCACTTCTGATTTCCAATATCCCCAGCGGTGCTGAGATCCAAATTGAAAAGGAACTCCGTTAAAAGCCTCGACGGGAGGGGAATAGAAGACGCGCAAGTGTGTGTGCGAGTGTGTGCATGCGTGAGTGCATGCGTGAGTGTGTGCGTGTGTGTGTGTGTGTGTGCGCGTATGCGTGTGTGCATGCGTGAGTGCGTGCGTGTGCGCATGCGTGAGTGTGCGCATGCGTGAGTGTGCGCGCGTGAGTGTGTGCGCGCATGCGTGAGTGCGCGTGCGTGCAGGAGGCTCGTGAAGGACGCTACTGGGCAGATACAGGCAGCCACTGCATGCCCAATCGCTTCGTTTGGCCAGAAAGAAGGGGCTAAAAGGGGCTCAAGCACGGCTGGAGAAGAGACGGGCTGACATGGTACGGAGGATGTGGAGCTGATTGGGCTTGCCGGTGACCGATACCAGCGTGTTAAGATCGGCCTCTGTGAGAGTTTCGTGAAGAACGCTACTGGTCAGTTGGGAGGCAATCGCCCACCAACAACAACGGAGGGCAGAGGAGCGACGCTCGCAACAACGAGCGGAGCGCCGGGCGGATTTGGTGGCACAGCTTGGTTCATCTGCCAGTCATCTCAGTCAGCCGACCTACGGCGCCTGCTGGATCTGTCCCGTGACCTCCTGATAAGAGGCCTCCACACTTCGCGTTGATGGACTCAAAGTGCACCGAGCCTGGCACAAACCGCTGTGGTGCCGATACCGGCATTAAATGGTTGTTTACGTGAGTGGAGAAACCCATGAATGTCGGCACAGCACACAAGGGGTTGTGTGGTGCAGTCAGTACCCCGCCCAGCCGTCTTTCTTTCCCCAGTGCGCTGATGTTTAATACGCACTCCACCATGTGAACTGATTTGAGGTTCAGTCGACCCAGGGGAGGCCCAGGGCCAGTCAAATAATCGTCACTGGTGTTGGCCGTGAGTGGGATTTGAATTCAGAGCACTGGGTACATAGCGCGGCATAGCACTAAGCACTACACTACCGCTCCAAAAGACAAAGATCCCCCATATAGCTTTAACAGACTGTAGGAGCAAGTGCTGTTAGCGAGCACCTATGAAGGCCGGAACGGTACACGAGGGGGTGGGTGACAACACCACGCCCGGCCGCTTGTCTCCCCAGTGGCGATGTTCACACACCGCACCAGTTACATCGTTTGAGGCTGAGTCGACCTAGGGAGGCCCAGGACCGGTTAAAATAATCGTCGCCGGTGGTGGCCGTGAGCGGGAATCGAACTCGGGTCGCCGGGTTCGTAGCGCTAACCGCTACCTATAATGCGCGACGCTTCCACATGCGCGGTCACGTGACAGATGTGACGTCACAGCTCACTTGCCGGGCAAAATATATTTGAATTATTGAGCTCCCCCCCCAAAAAAAAGTGTATTTTAATAATGTTTGCATGGTGTACAGTCTGGAAAGTACCCACAGGCAAATTTCAAGTTTGTTGCATGTCGGGAAGTACGCTAAACATTTTGAACAGACACACTAATCACACTTGGCCTTTTATATCTATGGAGATGACTTGTAGCTTTGTGACTGCAGGAATTCATATCTTCGGGTCTTTCGGTAAAAGTCACGTAGATTGGTGCAAATGAATAAAAAATAATAAAACATAAAATAAATAAACTACAGCGTTTCGATCACAAACTACAACAACATAAGCAATTGAACGTCCGTAGTTTATTGTTTATTTTATTATTGTTATTCACTTGTTCCTATCTACGTGTGTTTGCATGTTTCATCACGAGCCCCCGTGCGTGGTACTGCAGTAGCCCCGATTCCTTGAAAAAGGTGTTCATTTGGTGTTTTAACATCTTAACATATCCTGCTTTATTGCCAGAAAGGGTAAAACCTATTCTTCTTTTTTCATATTATTGCAATATACTACTTATAGTGATAGGTTTTACCCTTTCAACTGGTACAAAAAAACTGACACCTTTATACAAGGGATCATGTTTGCAATAACCACAACAAAGCAGTCAAAATGCAAATAAAAATAAAACAACTCTGATGATGATAAGGATATGCACTGTCCTTGTCATCATCAGAGTTGTTTCTCTTGTTTGCATTTTGACTGCTTGCGTTGTGGTTATTGCAAACATGATGCCTTGTATAAAGGTGACAGTTTCTGTACCAGTTGAAAGGGTAAAAAACCTATCACTATATTTTGCCACTGTAAAGGAGGTCTCATAGTGTAAATATACTACTTGTTTGTATACAATGAAATCACAAATATTATTTTAATTCATAGGCCTGCCCTTTCCTAGATCGCCTGCCTGGTTTGAGTGACCTCTTACGGCTGTTCATTCAGGCAAGAGTGGAGGGCGGGAGTCATGTTCTGGGCCTACCAATCACTCATGTATAAATGAATACATTCATGGGCCATATTTGACTGAAAAGGCTCTGGCCCTGATGCAAACCAGAGCAAGGAGGTATTAATCCCTCAAATGATCTTCTCACTGGCTCATCAACCCATAAACATTTGCTCACTCAATCATCCGACCCACCTACCCACAAAGTCACTCAAACCACGAACTCATCCACTCACTCAGCCACCGGCCCACTGACTCATTCGCCCGAGCACACACTCACCGCCTCGTCTAGCTCAACCACCCACCCACCAACTCGTGCACTTAACAAAGAACCTACCACCCATCAACTCACTCACTCCACCAGCAACCACTCACCAACTCACTCAGCCACCAAACCTACAAAAACTCAAATACAAACTCATTAATTTACTCACTCACACACCGACTACCCCCCCCCACCACTACTCACTCATCCACTGACTCAAGCATCAATGCACATAATCACTCCATGACCCACTCCTTCAGTAAACCACTTGCCGAACGCCTCACTCAGTCGCTCAACCACCTACTCACCGACTCGCCCACCCATTAAACTCACAAACTCCTCATTCACCTACCCACTCAACCACCTTGTCACCAACTCACTCAATGAAATCGCCCAACCAGATACATCTAAGTCACCTACCCACAAACTCACTCACTCACCTACCCACTCAACTACCTTGTCACCCACTCACTCAATGAATCACCCAACCAGATACATCTAAATCACCTACCCACAAACTCACTCACTCACCTACCCACTCAACTACCTTGTCACCAACTCACTCAATGAATCGCCCAATCACATACATCCAAATCACCTACCCACAAACTCACTCACTCACCTACCCACTCAACTACCTTGTCACCAACTCACTCAATGAATCGCCCAACCACGTACATCTAACTCACCCACTCGATCATTTACTCACCGACCTCACCCAAGGACTCACTAAATTACGAAAACACTCACTAAGCCTCCTACCTGCCAACTAAGTCACTCAACCGCGCACTCACTCGACTACCTTGCAATCCACTCACTCGTTCACTTACAGAGTAGCTCAACAGCTTATCAAATCGCCTACACACCAACTAACTCGCTCGCCTCACTTACCTCCTCTCTCACACGACCTTATCATCAAATCATTCATTCACTCGTAATAATAACGACGGTGATGTCAACTTGCAACATGCCGCACAGTACTCGCTCGCTCTCGTAGAGAGAGAACGACTCCGAGGTGACAGGAGGAGGAACCAGACGAGAGGATAGGCGGCATCCAAGCGCTGAGCTGCACGACATTTTTCCTCCCCCAAGCTCTGTGATCCTCTATATATAAAGGAGTTATCGGCCAAGTAAACATATTCCTCCTGCGGAGGGAGCTGGTAGGAACGTCGGGGTTGCTCGGTCAATGGCCTGCAGGGTCAACGGCGGCGTGGTGTATTCCGCAAATAAGCCCGACTGTGAGGGCGGGCACAAGCCGGCGTGAGTAGGTTAAACGTTGAGTTTTATAAGGGCACCACGGGTGACCAGCCCCTCCCCACCCAGCCCCACCCCCCACCCAGCCCCTCCCCACCCAGCCCCCCCCCACCCAGCCCCCCCCCACCCAGCCCCTCCCCACCCAGCCCCTCCCCACCCAGCCCCTCCCCACCCAGCCCCTCCCCACCCAGCCCCTCCCCACCCAGCCCCTCCCCACCCTCCCCACCCAGCCCCTCCCCACCCAGCCCCTCCCCACCCAGCCCCTCCCACCCAGCCCCCTCCCCACCCAGCCCCTTCCTCCCCAACCAGCCCCTTCCTCCCCAACCAGCCCCTTCCTCCCCAACCAGCCCCTTCCTCCCCAACCAGCCCCTTCCTCCCCAACCAGCCCCTTCCTCCCCAACCAGCCCCTTCCTCCCCAACCAGCCCCTTCCTCCCTACCCAGCCCCTTCCTCCCCACCCAACCCTCCCCACCCAGCCCCTCCCCACCCAGCCCCTCCCCACCCAGCCCCTCCCCACCCAGCCCCTCCCCACCCAGCCCCTTCCTCCCCAACCAGCCCCTCCCCACCCAGCCCCTCCCTGCACGACGGACGGACAGACACAATAATCCCCTGTGGTGTAACCAGGAGGTTCCTACCAGTATCAGCGTTATTGTGCAGGAGGAAACCGCAGCACCCGGAAAGCACCCGTACGTGCAAGGGAGCAACGCTCGATCTCATACAGCTCGAACAGATGGGAGCCCACATTTGCTCTACGGCATTCTCCTGGCGAAGTCAGTGTACGGGCTCCTCATCGATGCCCACGGGAAGATGGGGAGCTTCGTAACGTTTGTGTACGGGTGATACACCAACCCCGGCTACTGCCGCCGCAGCGCTGGATTACAGGCCGCCACGCGCATAGCCACTGCTCACCCACTCAACAACGCCCGCCATTAGCCACTTAGTGATGGTGACGTCTCCACGACGCTTGTGCCAGGCCAGGTGCACTTTGAGGCCACGTGAAGTGTCGAAGGCTCACTGACAGGAGGTCACGGGACAGACCCAGGTGCCATGGGTTGACTGAGATGACCAGCTGTGCCCCCCCTCTACTGTGACAACACGCTGCATTTTAGCCGCCCGGCGCTCCGCTCGTTGTTGTGAGCGTCGCTCCTCTGCCCTTCGTTGTTGTGTGGCGGGCGACTGCCTCCAACTGCCCAGCAGCGGCCTTCACGAGCCTCCTCCATCCATCCACTCGCTCACCTACCTACCTACCCAATCAACTCACCTCCCCATTCACCCGCTCGCTCACCACCACCAGCTCACCCGCACACACTCACCGGAGCCCATGATTTCTGCCTCCGCCCTCTTCCTCGCCGACCGACTGAGTCATGAAGTCCTGCAGCTTCTGCACCAGGGAGTCGAGCTTCTTACTGCAAGCGCACAGAGACACAAAGATAAATTTCCCCCCCCCACCATGTAACCTCAGACTGTTCGGGGCAAGTGCTGTTTGCGAGTAGCACCTATGAAGGCCGGCACATCGCACGAGGTGAGGGGCGGGGAGCACCATGCCCGGCCGCCTTTGTCTCCCCAATGGTGATGTTTACATGCCGTACCGGGTACCAGAGGTCGCAATCGGTACCCGATACCCGTACCCTACCCGATACCCGGCTACCCGTACCCGGCCGGGTACAGGTACCCGTTTGCGACCCTGGTGCGGCCGGGTACGGGTAGCCGGGTAGGCCGTGAGTCACAATGGTGAGTCACCGTTTGTCACTCATTTCCCAACGTCTTGTCTCTTCTCACAATTCAAGTTCCGAGAATCAACCCATCCGCGCCTGCAACATGGCTTCATCCCAGAGGTCGCAATCGGGTACCCGTACCCTACCCGATACCCGGCCGGGTATGGGTAGCCGGGTATCGGGTACGGGTACCCGATTGCGACCCTGGTGCGGCCGGGTACGGGTACGGGTAAGGAATCAAAACCAGTTTGCGACCTCTGGCATGCGGGCGATGTGAACCAGCAAACGCAGCCTCCCCTGTCGGAGCTCACCGATGCAACAGCACTCAAGATTATTTCAGGGGTGTGAGCTCCTCACACGATCCAGCATGGATCAGAGGCAGGCCAAGCAGAAAATGTAAAATCAGCCGATGTGTTCCTTCCAAGAGGTGGTCCACGTTTCGCAAGCAGAGCTTGTCGCCAAGAAGACTGGGAGCTTCGTGCGGAGCGACAGGCCGCTCGACCGATTTGGAGCAAGTTCTTCGCTGCCAAACCGAAGTTGGTCAGAAGCACACGGCCCAGGTAAGGCAAACAATTCCACTCTCTCCACAACCAAATTAACACACGCAACAACCGCCCTTGACCACGAAGTGGCAGCGATGTCAGCCCGGCACTTGTGCCACGCTGGGTGCACTTTGAGGCCCACGTGAAGTGTCGAAGGCTCGCTGGCAGGAGGTCACGGAACAGACCAAGTTGCCATGGGTCAACTGACTGAGATGCAGAGGTCGCAACCGGGTACCCGATACCCGTACCCTACCCGATACCCGGCTACCCGTACCCGGCCAGGTACAGGTACCCGTTTGCGACCTTGGTGCGGCCGGGTACGGGTAGGCCGTGAGTCACTGGTGAGTAACCGTTTGTCACTCATTTCGGGTAGGGTACGGGTAGGGAACGGGTACCCGTTCCCTACCTAGCCGGGTACCCATTTGCGACCCTGGTGCGGCCGGGTACGGGTAAGGAATCAAATCCCGTTTGCGACCTCTGCCGAGATGACACAAAGACACCCCGCTTAGGATGAACAGACTGTTGGGGCAAGTGCTGTTGGTGAGTACCTATGAAGGCCGGCACGGCACACGAGGGGGTGGGTGGCCAGCAACACGCCCGGCCGCCTTTGTCTCCCCAGTGGCGATGTTTACACACCACACCAGCTACTCATTTAAGGTCGAGGCGACCCACTATTGGGGAACAAATACTGTTCCCGAACACCCATGAAGGCCGGCACGTGTCACACGAGTGTGCCGAGTGGTTTGTAAGCCAGCAACAGCCCCGGCCGCCTTTGTCTCCCCCCCCCCTCCCCACCCCAGTGACAATGTTGAGTACAGTGCATAACCGCAACAAGCTGAGGTGGAGTCCACCCCCGCTCAACCACGCTACTCACTCCACACGCTACTCACTGTACACTCCACCCGTTACACACTGTACACGCTACTCTACTCACGCCACACGCTACGCACTGTACACTACACACGTTACACACTGTACACACTACTCGCTACTCACTGTACACTCCACACGTTACACACTGTACACTCCACACGCTACTCCACCCGATACACTGTACACGCTACTCTACTCACTCCACGAGTTACACACTGCACACTCCACGCGTTACACACTGCACACTACACACTGTACACACTACATACTGTACACTCCACACGTTACACACTGTACACTCCACACGCTACACTGTACACTCCACACGTTGCACTGTACACGCTACTCACTGTACACACTACTCGCAACTCACTGTACACACTACTCGCAACTCACGTTACACACTGTACACGCTACACACTGTACACTCCACACTGTACACACTGTACACTCCACACGCTACTCACTGTACACTCCACACGCTACTCACTGTACACTCCACTCGCTACTCACTCCTCACGCCAGCAACTGCACATGCAGCGATCCACTCACGTTACAGGCACAGAACACAGAACGCACTCGTAGCAGCGATTACAAAGAGGGCGGAAATTACGGGCACGATATATTGCAATTAACTTACAGAAGTTAACCTATATCTTTCATATTTATGCACACACACACGCACGTAGCAATTGCAATGGCGTTGACAAGACACCCAACGCGCACATCCAACGTTAAATTAACCAAAATATAACAAAAATCCCCACAAAGGGTGACGTCACTCGCCATTGCAATTCCTACCCCGCACGCGCTCTCCGCGCGATCCCATTGGCCGCGGCCGCGTCACGTGGTGCCCGGTACACCAATGGGGAAATGCGCGCGCGGGCTCGTCCGCTTATCCGCTCTAGCATTTTCGAGCAGTGGGCCCAATTTCCCCCCCCCCCCCCCACCGAAATTTTTTTGTTTCTGAGGCGAAATGATTTTAATTTATTTACAACAAAAATTCTGTCGGGGGTAGTAGTTTCAACAAAAACGAACAAAATAAAATAGATTGTCGCCCAATTGCCGATCGATCGATCGATCGACCGTTCGACGACGACCGCTAAAAATAATAAACCACCACACAACGCAGCGAGAACCTTCTAGGCCCACGCGTGGAGGCGGGAAAATGTCACGGCTCGCACGGGACGAACACGGCAGCAACAATAAGACAAGAACAGCCGCATAAGACGACGACAACGACGACGAAGACAAAGACGACGAGAACGGACTTACAAATAAAAATGTTATTACCTCTTTCGTTTAGTCGCCATAACGGCGCCGGCTTTCCCGCCCGCGTCGTTTCCTCCTCCTCCTCCCTCCTCCTCGCCTCCTCCCTCCGCCACGGGCGAGTTTGTTTGTTTCCCAGTCTCCGTTGTTTTGTTTGTTTCGTTGTTGTTGTTGTTGTAGTCGTTGCCGCGTCCGTCTTTGTCTTTCTCTCTCTCGCTCCCGTCTGGCCTCAGAGATGGACGCTACGCGGGTTTTTTTTGGGGGGGGGAGGTTAGGACGAGGGGGGCGGGGCTCTCACACGCACGTCACTTCCGTGCGGGTGTCGTCACTTCCCCCCGCCTGGCGTGACGTTGCAGCGCGTGTTTATATACAAGAGGGAGGGGGGGGTGGGGGGTGGTGGTGGGTGGGGGGTGGTGGTGTTGGGGGGAGGGGTGGTGGGGGTGGTGATGGGAGGTAATGACAGGGGAGTCAGTAGTGAGTGTGAAGGGACTGGTGGCCACGGGAGGTAGTGACGGGGGAGTCAGTAGTGAGTGTGAAGGGACTGGTGGCCACGGGAGGTAATGACAGGGGAGTCAGTTGTGAGTGTGAAGGGACTGGTGGTGATGGGAGGTAATGACAGGGGAGTCAGCCTGCAGTGGGAGTGGACTGGTGGCCACGGGAGGTAATGACAGGGGAGTCAGCCTGCAGTGGGAGTGGACTGGTGGCCACGGGAGGTAATGACAGGGGAGTCAGTTGTGAGTGTGAAGGGACTGGTGGCCACGGGAGGTAATGACAGGGGAGTCAGTTGTGAGTGTGAAGGGACTGGTGGCCACGGGAGGTAATGACAGGGGAGTCAGTTGTGAGTGTGAAGGGACTGGTGGCCACGGGAGGTAATGACAGGGGAGTCAGTTGTGAGTGTGAAGGGACTGGTGGCCACGGGAGGTAATGACAGGGGAGTCAGTTGTGAGTGTGAAGGGACTGGTGGCCACGGGAGGTAATGACAGGGGAGTCAGCCTGCAATGGGAGTGGACTGGTGGCCACGGGAGGTAGTGACAGGGGAGTCAGCTGTGAGTGTGAAGGGACTGGTGGCCACGGGAGGTAATGACAGGGGAGTCAGTTGTGAGTGTGAAGGGACTGGTGGCCACGGGAGGTAATGACGGGGGAGTCAGTTGTGAGTGTGAAGGGACTGGTGGCCACGGGAGGTAATGACAGGGGAGTCAGTTGTGAGTGTGAAGGGACTGGTGGCCACGGGAGGTAATGACAGGGGAGTCAGTTGTGAGTGTGAAGGGACTGGTGGCCACGGGAGGTAATGACAGGGAGTCAGTTGTGAGTGTGAAGGGACTGGTGGCCACGGGAGGTAATGACAGGGGAGTCAGCTGAGTGTGAAGGGACTGGTGGCCACGGGAGGTAATGACAGGGGAGTCAGCTGTGAGTGTGAAGGGACTGGTGGCCACGGGATGGTAATGACAGGGGAGTCAGCTGTGATGTGTGAAGGGACTGGTGGCCACGGGAGTTAATTGACAGGGAGTCAGTTGTGAGTGTGAAGGGACTGGTGGCCACGGGAGGTAATGACAGGGGAGTCAGCTGTGAGTGTGAAGGGACTGGTGGCCACGGGAGGTAATGACAGGGGAGTCAGTTGTGAGTGTGAAGGGACTGGTGGCCACGGGAGGTAATGACAGGGGAGTCAGTTGTGAGTGTGAAGGGACTGGTGGCCACGGGAGGTAATGACAGGGGAGTCAGTTGTGAGTGTGAAGGGACTGGTGGCTACGGGAGGTAATGACAGGGGAGTCAGTTGTGAGTGTGAAGGGACTAGTGGCTACGGGAGGTAATGACAGGGGAGTCAGTTGTGAGTGTGAAGGGACTGGTGGCTACGGGAGGTAATGACAGGGGAGTCAGTTGTGAGTGTGAAGGGACTGGTGGCTACGGGAGGTAATGACAGGGGAGTCAGTTGTGAGTGCGAAGGGACTGGTGGCCACGGGAGGTAGTGACAGGGGAGTCAGTTGTGAGTGCGAAGGGATTGGTGGCCACGGGAGGTAATGACAGGGAAGTCAGTTGTGAGTGTGAAGGGACTGGTGGCCACGGGAGGTAATGACAGGGGAGTCAGTTGTGAGTGCGAAGGGACTGGTGGCCACGGGAGGTAGTGACGGGGGAGTCAGTTGTGAGTGTGAAGGACTGGTGGCCACGGGAGGTAATGACGGGGGAGTCAGTTGTGAGTGCGAAGGGACTGTGGCTACGGGAGGGTAATGACAGGGGAGTCAGTTGTGAGTGTGAAGGGACTGGTGGCTAAAGGAGGTAATGACAGGGGAGTCAGCTGTGAGTGTGAAGGGACTGGTGGCTATGGGAGGTAATGACAGGGGAGTCAGTTGTGAGTGTGAAGGGAATGGTGGCCACGGGAGGTAATGACAGGGGAGTCAGTTGTGAGTGCGAAGGGACTGGTGGCTACGGGAGGTAATGACAGGGGAGTCAGCTGTGAGTGTGAAGGGACTGGTGGCTACGGGAGGTAATGACAGGGGAGTCAGTTGTGAGTGTGAAGGGAATGGTGGCCACGGGAGGGTAATGACAGGGGAGTCAGTTGTGAGTGTGAAGGGACTGGTGACCACGGGAGGTAATGACAGGGGTATCAGTTGTGAATGCGAAGGGACTGGTGGCTACCGGAGGTAATGACAGGGGAGTCAGCCTGCAGTGCGAGTGGACTAGTGGCCACGGGAGGTAATGACAGGGGAGTCAACCGACAGTACGAGTGGACTAGTGGCCACGGGAGGTATTGACAGGGGAGTCAGCCTGCAGTATGAATGGACTGGTGGCTACGGGAATGATCGAGAATAGGAGCGTGGCCAGGTGACGGGAGAGGATGGTGGAGTCTGCCGCTAGAGCGAGCGGTCTAGAACCAGCGAGAAAGTTCGGGAATGGGGGCGTAGCCTCGGACCGTATAGAAGGGGGAGATGCACGGGAGACTTGGGCCTGTTGCCGTGGGGGTCTCCGCCTGTCAGAGTGTGACCACGTGGCTCCTTAATAAAGAAAACCTTCCCAGTACAAGTGCGTCGAAGTGGTCTTGACACCGATATAATCATCTGGCAGTTCGCCAGCGTCGGTTCAAGCGAGCCAGATGACTCTGCTGATCAAGTTTTTCAAGTTTCATTTATTAGCTATAGCCCTGTGAGCCATTCGGCTCTTGAATCGGGTGCAACCGCAACAAACAAAAAAACTAAAACATCAACAAGAAAACATATTAAAGTGAAATAAAAATAAAATAAAATCACGACGTTTCGGAGGCAACACAAGCTTCCGTTGATACAGGTGGAACAGTCACAGCATGATAGTTGTATCAAGTGATACACTTGTGATACACTTGATGCAGCTATCGTGCTGTGACTGTTCCACCTGAAGACGGAAGCTTGTGTTGCCTCCGAAACGTCGTGATTTTTATTTTATTTGTATTTTACTTTTATTAATTGTAATTTTTAACCTACGTGACTTTACCGAAAAAACCTAAGAATATGAATCCTTGCAGTCACGAAAGCTTCAAATCTAGAATCTTAAAGTGACTATGTGCAAACAGAAAATCCAGCAAAATATTGCAGAAAAAGCACCGTACACCAACGCTGATGAGACACAAAATGTCAGAACTGGTCCAAAGTTGTGCTTGTGTTGCACCGGTGATACTGGTAGGAACCGCCAGGTTCCACCAGCCCACAGGGGATTATTGTGTCCGTCCGTCGTGCAGGGAGGGGCTGGGTGGGGAGGGTGGGGCTGGGTGGGGAGGGTGGGGAGGGGCTGGGTGGGGAGAGTGGGGCTGGGTGGGGATGGGAGGGTGGGGATGGGCTGGGTGGGGAGGGTGGGGATGGTGGGGAGGGGCTGGGTGGGGAGGGTGGGGAGGGGCTGGTGGGGAGGGTGGGGCTGGGTGGGGAGGGGGCTGGTCACCCCGTGGTGCCCTTATAAAACTCAACGTTTACCTACTCACGCCGGCTTGTGCCCGCCCTCACAGTCGGGCATATTTGCGGAATACACCACGCCGCCGTTGACCCTGGCCATTAACCGAGCAACCCAACGTTCCTACCAGCTCCCTCCGCAGGAATGTGTTAATGGGGCTTCACGGTGGCTAGGAGATGTTAACTACCTCGCCTGGTCTACAGGAGGCCGTGGGTTCAATCCCGACCCCGACGCCTGCTGTATATTTGGAGTTTGCGTGTCTCTCTCTCTCCCTGTGGCGGTCGCGTGGATTTTTCTCCGGGCCCCCCCTCCAGTTTTCCCCTCCACGTTTAAAATTAACGCGCGTTCAGAGCATTTCACTGCTATACATTTCCACATGACGATAAGCCACTTCTCGTTCAGCTCTCATTTGTAGCCGGGATGCTTCTGAAAGCGCTACAAACCCAGCGATCAGAGTTCGATTCCCGCTGACGATTATCTGAACCGGTCCTGGGCCTCCCCTAGGTCGACTCGGCCTCAAATGAGTACCTGGTGCGGTGTGTAGTAAACATCGCCACTGGGGAGACAAAGGCGGTCGGGCGTGGTGCTGGCCACCCACCCCCTCGTGTGCCGTGCCGGCCTTCATAGGTGCTCGCTAACAGCACTTGCCCCAAGAGTCTGCTAAGGCTACACGGGGGACCTTTGGTACCTTTGTCGAGTAAATAAGATGCACTCCCTGGGAGATGAGGCCATGTGTCTCTTGCAGGATGCGAGAATGCACAAATATTCTTAAACACATTTGTAAGTTGACGAGGCAGATGTGGGAGGGAGTAGGCAGGTGGTCTGCTCATTTATTTTGTTGCACAACTCATACAAAGAAAACCGAGGAAATAATTATAAAACATTACACGCTCCGCTCACTCGAACCGTGACTACTACGAGGATGGAGATGATGATGGAGATGATGGAGATAGAGATAATGATGGAGATGATGATGATGATGGAGATGATGATGGAGATGATGATGATGATGGAGATGATGATGATGGAGATGATGATGATGATGGAGATGATGATGATGGAGATGATGATGGAGATGACTGATGATGATGATGGAGATGATGATGATGGAGATGATGATGATGATGACTGATGATGAGGATGGAGATGATGATGATGGAGATGATGATGGAGATGATGATGGAGATGATGATGGAGATGATGATGATGATGATGAAGATTGATGATGATGGAGATGATGATGGATGGAGATGATGATGATGGAGATGATGGAGATGATGACGATGATGATGATGATGATGGATGGAGATGATGATGGAGATGATGACGATGATGATGACGGAGATGATGATGATGATGATGATGACGGAGATGATGATGATGATGGAGATGATGATGATGAAGATGATGATGATGGAGATGATGATGGAGATGATGATGGAGATGATGATGGAGATGATGATGGAGATGATGAGGATGGAGATGATGATGATGATGATGGAGATGATGATGGAGAAGATGATGATGATGGAGATGATGATGATGGAGATGACTGATGAAGATGATGATGGAGATGATGGAGATGATGATGGAGATGATGATGACGGAGATGATGATGAAGATGATGATTATGGAGATGACTGATGATGATGACGGAGATGATGTTGATGTTTATTCAAGAAAATAGAGAATCACATTGACGATCTTTCCAAAAAGCATCCTGGTTCAGTTTTCCCCTCCAGTGATGGGAAGCGCGCGGTGATGATGAGGTTGACAATGAGGTTGGCGATGATAGGGATGGTAATGATGACGAAGATGATGACCGTCGCAAGATGACGGTGATGATGATGTTGATGAGCGTGACGTTTTTACGATTGTTGACAATATTAACGGTGATGATAACGAAGATGTTGATGACGATGATGACAATAACGATGTTGCTGTCAATGATGTTGTTGTTGATGATGATAATAATGATGTTGTTGTTGATGATGATGACGATGATAATGTTGACGATGTTACTTCCATCATCTTTCCTCCATTCGCCAATGCCATCTTCACTTTATAAGAAAGCTGAGAAAATGAGACACAAACATCGCGACTGGGTCAGACAAGGAATTAATCCGTTGTACACGACTTCTAGACTCACACAGAGACCCACAGACTCGCACGGAGAGCCACAGACTCACACGGAGAGCCACAGACTCGCACAGAGACCCACAGACTCACACAGAGACCCACAGACTCACACAGAGACCCACAGACTCACACAGACACCCACAGACTCACACAGACACCCACAGACTCACACAGACACCCACAGACTCACACGGAGAGCCACAGACTCACACGAAGAGTCACAGACTCAGACAGAGACCCATAGACTCACACAGAGACCCATACTCACAGAGACACACAGACTCACACAGAGATCCACAGACTCACACAGAGATCCACAGACTCATACAGAGAGCCACAGACTCACACAGAGAACCACAGGCTCGCACAGAGAGCCACAGGCTCACACAGAGAGCCACAGGCTCGCACAGAGACCCACAGGCTCGCACAGAGACCCACAGACTCGCACAGAGACCCACAGACTTGCACAGAGACCCAGACACACAGATACCCACAGACTCGCACAGAGACCCACAGACTCGCACAGAGACCCAGACACACAGAGACCCACAGACTCGCGCAGAGACCCACAGACTCACACAGAGACCCACAGACTCGCACAGAGACCCACAGACTCACACAGAGACCCACATACTCGCACAGAGACCCACATACTCGCACAGAGACCCACATACTCACACAAAACCCACAGACTCACACAAAGATCCACAGACTTACACAGAGACCCACAGACTCGCACAAAGACCCACAGACTCGCACAGAAACCCACAGACTCGCACAGAGACCCATAGACACACAGAGACCCACAGACTCACACAGAGACGCATAGACACACAGAGACCCACATACTCGCACAGAGACCCACATACTCACACAGAGACCCACAGACTCACACAGAGACCCACATACTCACATAGAGACCCACAGACTCACACAGATACCCACATACTTACAGAGACCCACATACTCGCAGAGACCCACAAACTCACACAAAGATCCAGAGACTCACACAGAGACCCACAGACTCACACAGAGCCACAGACTCACATAGAGACCCACAGACTCACACAAAGACCCACAGACTCGCACAGAAACCCACAGACTCGCACAGAGACCCATAGACTTGCACAGAGACCCAGACACACAGAGACCCACAAACTCGCACAGAGACCCACAGACTCACACAGAGACCCACATACTCGCACAGAGACCCACAGACTCGCACGGAGACCCACAGACTCACACAGAGACCCACATACTCGCACAGAGACCCACAGACTCACACAGAGACCCACATACTCGCACAGAGACCCACAGACTCGCACAGAAACCCACAGACTCGCACAGAGACCCATAGACTTGCACAGAGACCCAGACACACAGAGACCCACAAACTCGCACAGAGACCCACAGACTCACACAGAGACCCACATACTCGCACAGAGACCCACAGACTCACACAGAGACCCACAGACTCACACAGAGACCCACAGACTCACACAGAGACCCACTCACACAGAGACCCACAGAGACCCACAGACTCGCACAGAGACCCACAGACTCACACAGAGACCCACAGACTCGCGCAGAGACCCAGACACACAGAGACCCACAGACACACAGAGACCCACAGACTCGCACAGAGACCCACAGACACACAGAGACCCACAGACTCGCACAGAGACCCATAGACACACAGAGACCCACAGACTCGCACAGAGACCCACAGACACACAGAGACCCACAGACTCGCACAGAGACCCACAGACTCGCACAGAGACCCACAGACTTGCACAGAGACCCACAGAGACCCACAGAGACCCACAGAGACCCACAGACTCGCACAGAGACCCACAGACTCGCACAGAGACCCACAGACTCGCACAGAGACCCACAGACTCGCACAGAGACCCATAGACTCACACAGAGACCCACAGACACACAGAGACCCCAGACTCACACAGAGACCCACAGACTCGCACAGAGACCCACATACTCGCACAGAGACCCACAGAGACCCACAGACTCGCACAGAGACCCACAGACTCGCACAGAGACCCATAGACTCACACAGAGACCCACAGACTCGCACAGAGACCCACAGACTCGCACAGAGACCCATAGACTCACACAAAGACCCACAGACTCACACAGAGACCCAGACACACAGAGACCCACAGACTCGCACAGAGACCCACTCACCTGTATGGGTAGCCGTGGTATTTGGAGCGGAAGATGGAGAGGAGGAAACTGAAGAAGAAAACGACGAGACCCAGGCCTACGAGACACAGGACTGACAAAAACAACAACATCGTCGTCGTCGTCATCAACATCTCCAACACAGACACCATCACTGACATCAAAGACATCAACAACATCATGTCGATGATGCTGATGATAATTTTAATGATGCCGATTCTGTTGTTGATGCTGCTGCTGCTGCTGTTGATGCGACCGATTATGTTGTTGATGCTGCTGTTGAAGCGACTGCTGTTGCTGCTGCTGTTGATGCGACTGCTGTTGCTCCTGCTTTTGCTGCTGTTGCTGCTGTTGCTGCTACTTCTGTTGCTGCTGTTGATGTGACTACTGCTGTTGTTGCTGTTGTTGTTGATACTACTGCTGTTGATACTACTGCTGTTGATGCGGCTGTTGCTGTTGATGCTGTTGCTGATGCGACTGTTGCTTTTGCGACGGTTGCTGTTGCTGCTACTGCTGTTGATGCTGCAGTTGTTGTTGATGCTACTGCTGTTACTGTTGTTGATGCTACTGCTGCTGTAGCTGCTGTTGATGCTACTGCTGTTGTTGATGCTTTTGCTGCTGCTGCTGTTGACGCTACTGCTGTTGCTACTGTTGTTGCTGCTGCTGCTACTGTTGCTGCTGTTGACGCTACTGCTGCTGTTGACGCTACTGCTGTTGCTACTGTTGTTGCTGCTGCTGCTACTGTTGCTGCTGTTGACGCTACTGCTGTTGCTACTGTTGTTGCTGCTGCTGCTACTGTTGCTGCTGTTGACGCTACTGCTGTTGCTACTGTTGTTGCTGCTGCTGCTACTGTTGCTGCTGTTGACGCTACTGCTGTTGTTGATGCTACTGCTGTTGTTGATGCTGTTGCTGCTGTTTACGCTACTGCTGTTGCTACTGTTGCTGCTGCTGCTGTTGTTGATGTGACTGCTGCTGTTGATGCTACTGCTGTTGCTACTGTTGCTGCTACTGCTGTTGATGCTGTTGCTGCTACTGCTGTTGATGCTGTTGCTGCTACTGCTGTTGATGCTGTTGTTGATGTGACTGCTGCTGTTGATGCTACTGCTGTTGCTACTGTTGCTGCTACTGCTGTTGATGCTGTTGTTGATGTGACTGCTGCTGTTGCTGCTACTGCTGTTGCTACTGTTGCTGCTACTGCTGTTGATGCTGTTGTTGATGTGACTGCTGCTGTTGATGCTACTGCTGTTGCTACTGTTGCTGCTACTGCTGTTGCTGATGCGACTGCTGCTGCTGCTGTTGTTGATGCTGTTGCTGATGCGACTGCTGCTGCTGCTGTTGTTGATGCCGTCAACGCCGCTGCTGCTTCTGGTGTGACCCAAGCGGTCCCCTGGCTGCTGAATAATTCAGAGCGAGTAATCGCCGCGACAGCGACGATGGCGCTTGCTGCTGCTGCTGCTGCTGATCGTGACCCCACCGACTCATCGCGGCGCTCCGTGGGCTCAGCCAATTAGCGGCGAGCTCGTTAGCGAGCGCCGGGCAGACGGTGCTGGCTCATCGAGCCTCATCAACGGCGCGGTGATGGTGATCACCGGGCAGTAGTGGTGGCGATTACGTGGCGGTGGTGGTGATGGTGGTGGTGGTGGGGATGGTGGTGGTGGTGATGGTGGTGATGGGGATGGTGGCGGTGGTGGTGGTGGTGGTGATTATGGTGGTGGTGGTGATGGGGATGGCGGTGGTGGTGGTGATGATGATGGTGGTGGTGGTGATGATGGTGGTGGTGGTGGGGATGGCGTGGTGGTGGCGATGATGGTGGTGGCGATGATGGTGGTGGCGATGATGATGGTGGTGATGATGGTGGTGGTGGTGATGATGGTGGTGGTGATGTTGGTGATGATGGTGGTGGCGATGATGATGGTGGTGATGATGGTGGTGGTGATGTTGGTGATGATGGTGGTGGTGATGGTGATAGAGGTGGTAATGGTGATAGAGGTGGTGGTAGTGGTGGTGATGGTGGTGATGATGGTGGTCGTGGTAGTGGTGGTGATGATTGGGTGATGGTGGTGATATTATTACGAGTGGCTTGTGTACATCCATGCCTCACTATTTCATTCAATCACTTGCTAAACCACTCGCCCTCACGGACCCTCACTCAAAAACCCCACCCACCCCCATGCCACCCACACCACCCGCACCACACCACGCCATCCACCCCCACCACACCACACCACGCCACCCACACCATCCAAACCACCCACACCACGCCACCCACACCACGCCACCCACACCACGCCACCCACACCACGCCACCCACACCACGCCACCCACACCACCCACACCACGCCATCCACCCCCACCACACCACACCACGCCACCCACCCCCCACGCCACCCACGCCACGCCACCCACGCCACCCACACCACGCCACCCACACACGCCACCCACACACGCCACCCACACACACGCCACCCACCCCCACGCCACCACCCCCACCGCCACCCACACCACGCCACCCACCCCCACGCCACCCACGCCACCCACACCACGCCACACACGCCACGCCACCCACAGCACGCCACCCACACCACCCACACCACGCCACTCACGCCACCCACAGCACGCCACCCACAGCACGCCACCCACACCACGCCACCCACGCCACCCACAGCACGCCACCCACACCACGCCACCCACACCACGCCACCCACACCACGCCACCCACACCACGCCACCCACACCACGCCACCCACACCACCCACACCACGCCACC